TCCCGGTCTCCAACATTGTACGGGCATTCCACGTACCTAAATTAATGGTTGTTTTTGTTGCCAGAAGAGGCATCAGACTCTTGACTTCCGAAGGTATTCAGCTTTCACTATTAGGCGTCATAACTCTTCTAAATGAAGAACTTCCAACTCACAAGATAGAGTTTAAATGTTTTGAATTAATTTTTCTGGTTAGCGGTTTTCTTGCGAGTTAGTTTTCTACGGGATGTGGTCGCTAACCTCATGCCCACCCTTCCTCCTTTAGCCGAGATTGGGGTCGTCGGAGTCCCATGATATCATATGTATATTTTGTACTTTATTCCCGGCTAATTATCACGTGATATATTCGACAATCTTAATATTGTGCCACAACAATGACGTTCAACTGGTATGAGCAGCTTAGCGTCCTTGTTAGTCCTTTGTCCGCCTGGCCCTGCCAGTTGAGTCCAGAATACCAATACCAAATTCCCCTATGCATATCATTTATTTTAAACATACTTGGTTTGTATACCAGCCAAAACGGACCACATCTCACCATAAAATAAAAAATAACATTTGTACAAGATCAATCCAAACGTGGAAGACTGTAATGAATAAACCGAGTGTAATTTAATAATAGTAAATCGTATCATAATAGTCTATAGGTCAAAATGAAGCTTATAGTAAGATGAATAAAGATATCCATAATCCAGTTACTGAACAGTTATACAATAAGAATATACTTATAATATTAGCCCAATAATGGTTCTCAGAAGTTACCCATAATTTTCTCTTCACCAGGATATAATAGTATATATATTCATAGTCAAAGTCATGGACAACATTATTTATTGTGTTACTTAATCTACTGAAATTAAATGATGTCATAAATCGTTCTAACAGTTCAATACAATAGGCGTTTATACGAAATATTCTTTGAATATCTACACGTTAACCTCTAATTTAGAACCGAAGAGAAAGAAGAGAATGATTATATTGTATGTTTCAAGTTTATTAAGATAATACATTTGTACACTTCACACACATATAACTCATAATGTGGTGTGTGCTACTGATGTCGACAGATATAAGTAGTATGTATCATCGGTCGGAAGTGAGATACCTGGCAGCGGAAGTTTAAGAAAATCGAAGAAAAGAAAAGAACAAAGAATGATTGCTGTGGAAATGAAGGAACAATTAAGTCTGAGATAAACCATCATAATAAATAGACTTTCAGATAATTACTTGAATAGTTGAATTAATGATTCCAATAAATCTAGACCACCATGGAAAACATTCTTCTAGTTGTGGGACTCCTCAGCAGTGCGCATCCACGATCCCGCGTGCGAGATTCGAGCCCAGTACCTATCGATCCCACGTGCGAACACTTAACCTCTACACTACTGAGCTGGCATCTAGCGATGTTAATGTCTAACTCCAACCAATTCTCGAAATTGCGTCGCCGTCCAAAGCTGAGGAGCCCTATACTTGTACGAAACGGCCTTCTGGTGCTTCCAGGTTTTCCATGATGGTCTAGCTTTAATGAAATCATGAATTCAAATATTATAATTACTATAATATCCGTGAATTTCCTTTTCAGAAAATAAAAACTGGGGAAAAAATCACAAATCAATCATCCGTCTAATTCATTTTTGTATTGGTTGTTTAAATCTTCTCATTGATCTTTCAGATTATAATTGGTCAGTCACTGATTGGCATGTATCCATCTTTTGGGAAGATTGTCTCGATATTGTATAAAGTCATAAGCATTATAAGCAAAAATGGATGATGACTTGCAGTGAAATCCAGAACGCACATTTCCTTCGATTTGGGACTCATCAGCTGGATGTCACTGTATCTCAGATTTGATGTTCACTTTGGAACTCGAACCCAGTACTGTTCACTTCTAATTTCATCACATGATCCAATTAGTTACTAAATAGAGATAACCAGTAGCTTGTATAAAGTGTGTGTGTGTGTGTGTAAGTGAAGTCATCAATCCAATGAATTACTATTCAATATATAATCACTTGGAAATTCTATTGTATTTCATGTATTTTACTTACATATTTACAGAAATCATAGATTTTATTAACTACTCCATTAAGTTATTCATTGTATGGTCAGTTTTCAATGATACAAAATGGTTCATTTACAATGTCATTGCATATCATTTCTATTTAATCAAAAGGATAAAATGTAATGGATTACATATTTTATGACCGATAGAATTAGTACTGATTTGACTATTATAATGAAGGCTATAAATTTCTATTATATTATCTGACATTATTTCTTCATAGGTAATCAATTCCAACTTTGATTTACATAGAATGACTATAGAATGGATTACGGTTAAGTGCTGAAAAGAATGACAGTATACTGTTACCTTATTATTATTATTGATATATCAAATGGGGTGTGGCCTGTTAGGAAAACCACCTGCTTCGGTCTGAGCACCCGAACAGTATCACAGTTCTCACATATATCAAATGAGATCTGTGTGGAGCTTATGTATTTGGTGCCTCCTTGTATTAATATATATGCGTTAAAATCAATAAAAAAATATATTAAATCGATTCAGTACTCAGTTTATTTGAAATTATCAAGTCAAACTTTAATAATGATACTTACAAATTGTAAATAAACATAATAACCCTCTCTTGACAAACAAACATATTACATTGATCTTATTCATTTACACTTGACAACAACAACAAAACAAACTAACAAATTGGTTAATTGTGGTGTTTGAATGAACTAATGGCTCATTTGTACTTGTTGAATGCTTGATTCGAAATTTCAAATATAGTACATTCGTTAGTGATTGTGTAGTACTTTTTGATTCAATTGCGTTATTTCTGGGATTCTTAGTTAGTATTATAATTCATATACTCCTAATTATCATATTAGCGTCGCGATGGAGCCTGTGATGGAATGGTTGGATATACATTCAGATTTTGATGCTTATGAGGATTACTTTGAAAGGTTCAAAATCTGGGCTATGATTAAGGAAGATGATGAGGATGTTAATATTGTAGCACATTTCCTCACATTCATCGGAAAAGAAGCATATAGCTTATTAAAAATTTTTGGGTTTACCCGAAGAGCCCATTTCTCTTCCTTATACAACTCTCAAGGAATTACTTCTAGACTATGCTAAGTATACAAATTTCGAATGAGGTAAAGAGAGATTTCGCAAAATGATTCATGAGGATATGAAAAACTCCATTACATTACGTCACCCCATCCCAATCTATACTTAAAGTTATGCAGATAATTTATTGAGGAGTTGCAATGCAGTTCACGAAGATGGGCACAAATTTGGTCAATGTGATGATATTGGACATATTCAGTCAGTTTGTAATTTTGATTCTATTATGTTAAGTATTTATAATGATCATTTATCTTTATCGACGATTTCAAAAGACAGTTTAGAGTCATATAGCAGTTCAGAGTTAAATGAAACTCAGAATCCTTCCAAGACAACAATTTCTAATCAATCAACCTATCAGATTTCTCATGTTATTGTACCAGATATGATTTTTCCTAATGATTCACATATTTCTGATGAAATTTCTTACAAATCTGGCAAGAATATTTCGGATGAACCTAATCATGATCGAAAATCTGATGTAGTTTTGATTGATGTTGATTTTTCTAATGATCCTTTGCTGTGCAATGACATTCTTAATAAATTTGAGGAAACTATTTCAGAAGAATCAAATCTTCATGTCATATCGAATATTATTTGTCCTCATAATGCATTTGTTTCTTATGGGAATCTTGTTCGGTGCGAAGCACGAGTATTAAATGAGCTCGATTCTGATTACAATTCACATAATTCCATATTAAGTTTTGTTGATCCTTATCATAAATTCACTTTCAATGTTTACTCTAGTCAATGTGAGAAAGATGTTTTAAATGAAGCCACATTATTCATAACTTGGGGATATGAAGATCCGACATTATTTCGTGAGGGAGGATAGTCTGAATGTCTATAGTTCAAATTCTAGGTAACAGTAGTTATAGTACTCAACCGACCTGATGATTGTTCACAATCTCAGGAAGCAAGTGGGTCTGTTCCGATTTCAGTTGTTAATGCTAATACTAATGAGTGCATTCTGGATAATACAGAGCCTTTATCCAATACATTGTCGGACAGGCACATGATGAACTTAAGAAGAAGACGTACAACCAATTACAGACACTTAAACTCCAATTTAAGTTGTGGCGGATGTGGTGCTTGAATGAATTAATGATTCCTTTGTACTTGTACAGTACATTCGTTAGGCATTATGAAGTACTTTTTAATCCAATTGCTTTATTTCTGAGATTCTTAGTTTGTACTATAATTCAAATGCTCCTAATCATCATATTAATTTAACAAAATCAATAATAGATTAGGAATTTTAAAGTTGAATTCATGAATCAATTAAAGTTAGACCATTATGGAAAAACTGGAAGCACTGTATAGCCATTCTATCCCCTAGTATGAAATTTCTCATCAGTACGTAACCACTAACCCACCTCGCGAGATTCAAACCCAGAACCTATTGATCTCACGTGCGAACACTTAACCTTTAAACTATTGATGCGGCCAGAATCCAATAATATTCATTTCTAACTTCAATCAATCCACAAAATTGAGCCACACTTTTAACATTGTCGTCAGTCAGTTACTATCCTACAACAATGACTGTCTTCAAGAGATATTTCCTATAGTTCTAGAGAGAAGTAATAAGCAGTGGAATTCAACCGGGTCTATTGTAAGATAATAACTCAATGAAGACAATGTTAAAAGTGTAGCTCAATTTCATGGATTGATTCAAGTTAAACATGAACACAGTTGAATGCCAGTCGGTTCACTGATCTAGAGGTTAGATGTTCACGTGCGATATACATACATCTTTAGTTCAAATCTCACAAGATGAGATCATGACTATGCACTGTTGAGAACTCCCATACTATAATATCCACATGATCTCTTTTCGTAGATCAAAAAATAATCAATTCAATAACATAATTAATAATATTTTTTTATAAGAATATTTAACATGTACAACGCTTGAATAATGTTTATTATAAATGTATAGATAATAAGTAGTAGTTTATTGTTCTATAATTGATTATTGTTTATATTGATTATGAATACATGAATATATTAGTAATTGAATAAAACATAAGAAATACAATTAAAATGCATAATTTTTTTCATTATTAATAATAGATTTATTAATTAATATACCTTTTAATGGTGGCATTTTTGGTGGTGGTCGTTCTAAATCATTAACATCATCATGATAATTACCACTTTTTAAAATTAAATCTGGTGGTTTATGTGTTGGAGTTAATGTTATCATCATTATTGATTTATGATTATTATGATTATCATTATGATCATTATTATTATTATTATTATTCTGTAAATGTAGTTCATGATTAGATGTACGAAAATTTTGTGGTGGATCAATAAATGATAAAGCAAGACTTTCAATCGATTCATTATCTAATGAATTACATCTTGAATTCATTAATAAATTAGGATTATGGATTAGAGATTTTTTACATTTTATTTCATTTATTTCTTTTTTATGATGTAATTGTTTTTGGTGTTGTTGCTGTGGTGGTGGTGGTGATGGTGGTGATGGTGGTGGTTGTTTATTATTTATTTTTTTTAATAAATACATATTTTTATTATTATTATTATTAGTTAATGTTATGCAACCATATTCTTGAGGATTGATATCTTTTCGTTGAAATGTTGATTGAATTGTTGAATTGATTTCATAGATTGATTTATTTTCATGATATTGATTATATTTTTTATATGATTCAATACAATTATCAATATCGATTGGATTAGTGAAATGATTCGATGGTGATCTGATCATTTCTTTATTGATTATTTCATTTGGAATTTTTTTCATTTCATATGGACAATGATCCATTATAATATTATTATTATTATTATCATTATCATTATCAATATATTGATTAGTATTACGTAACCGGCGTTCATTGATATGATCATAATCAATTTTTTGATCACATTTTAATAATCCATAAAAATGATTGAATTTTGGCATGCCATCTTCATGATGATCATTTATTTCATTGTTTAGATCATATCCATATCGTGTTGAATTACTATTTATGGATTGTGATGTATTCATATAATTTGTATGATATATATGATTTGATTGATATTTATGATCTAATGAAGATGATCTATGATATTCATAATGATTACTATGAATAGATGATGATGGTGGTGTTGATGATGATGATGTTACTGTTGTTGTTGTAATTGTTGGTACATAATCATTGATTGTATTTTTAGAATTTTCACTGCTCATTGTATTTGTATGAAGTGGAAGTAAAGTAGAGTTTATATCATTTGATATATCTAATGGGTATACATTGAATAAACACTGAAGAATAAAAAGAAAGAAAGAAAAGAAATTACATTAGAAAGAATCTAGAAGTAATGATGGATTATAATAATGTAAGATTGATAGGTTTTGAGTTCGAATCTTGTGAAGTGAGTTAAATCGTGAATCCGTATTGCACATAAAAGTTCTATATAATAGAACAAAATAGCTGTCCAGTGTTCCTAGGTTTTCTATGATAGTCTAGCTTTGATTGAGTCATGAATTCAAATATTATCATTACTATAACATCTAGAAAAACCTTTCTTTGATAATAAATTGTAGATCTAAACTGTTAGCTTAGTAATTACTATTATCTTAACTAATCAGGTAACATTTCACAATCCTATATTCATGAAAAATGTATTGTTTTTGCATATTAAATGTTATAACTTGTGACCCGCTGATTAGAGTGCAGCGAATTATCAATCGAAACAGTGATGTATAAAACACGTGCGAGTAGCCTAGAGTCCTGATTGGCCCTGATTTCTGTCTAGCCCAGCCAGTTGAGTCCAGAACACTAATCTTATCCTCAGCAATATGAATCATTATATTTCAAACATACTGAGTTTATATACCAATTATACAGACCACAACGTACCTAAAAAAATATGAAACAACATTTGTACAAGATTTAGCCAAATGTGGCTATGAACAAGGGAGGTAGTAATTCATGTACTGAGTATAACTCAAGAATGGTAAAACGTATAATAATAGTTCACAGGTCAAAATAAAGCTTATAATAAAAGGAATATGAATATACAGATAGTTTAGTTACTTAATAATTATACAATTGCAATATACATTTAGTATTGGTCTGTAAATGGTTCCCCAAAGTTACCATTCCTTATTTTTATCAAGATATATCATTAAATAAATAAACTTACTGGTGATTGATTTAATGTAGGTGATATCATTTTCATACTATATAAATCAGATGTATTCTGATGATGTCCTATGATACAACATGATTTACTATCATATTGTTCATGATGTACATTACAACTATTTATATTTCCTAATGTATTCGAATTCATATAACATTGACAATGTTCATGTTGATATTTATGTAAATCATTTATAATAGTAGTACATGAATGAATTGGTAATTTACATATAGAACATAAATATTTTAAATCATTTGTTAAAGGTATCTCTAATCTAGATGGATTAGTATTATTATTATTATTATTAGTATTAGTATTATTATGTAATACATTGGAATGAGTTGTTGACCAATCATCATTTGTATGAGAGAAACATATTGTTGAACATTGATTTGATTTAAGTATAGATTTCGATTTGATTTCAGTATTTCTTATATGATATTTACGATATAATAATATAATGATCAGTAGTATAGTTAAAACAATGAATAAACTACTACCAATACCAATAAATATTGATTGTAATAGAGATGAATTCATTGATTGTATATAAGGTTCTTGATTTGTTCGTTTATTGATTTGTATATTTATTGATTTTTTTGAATCAATGAAACGGTTTTTCTTATCTAATTTATAAGAAAAAAAAAACATTAGTTTAAACATAATCGATATCATTACCATGGTTTAATTTGATCATTTTGAATAAATTAAATATTGAGTTAATTGTTATAAATACAAAAATAATATAATTCAGATGTTAAGGTATATCCTAGAGTTCTAGTGAGAAGTAGTAGTGACCAGTGGAGTTCAAGCAGGTCTGTTGTGAGATAGTAACTCACTGTTAACAATGGTGAATGTGTCATTCGATTTCGTGGATTAGTTGAAGTTAGACATTAATATCGTCAGATGCTGGTCGGATTAGTGGTTTAGTGGTTAAGTGCTCGGGCACGAGAGTGATAGCTCCTGTGTTCGATTCTCGCAAGGGGCGAGGTCGTGGATGCGCACCACTAAGGAGTCTTACAGTAGGACGAAACGGCCGTCCAATGCTTCCAGGTTTTTCATGATAGTCTAGCCTCAACTGACTCATGATGTTAACCATTGAAATTAGATAAATAGTTATAAATAAAAATCATATAATTAAGATGATAAGTTAATTGAAGCTAGAAAACCATCCTAATTTGAGACCCCTTAGTATAATGTATATCTACGACTCCGCCTTGTGAGATTCGAACCCAGGTGAACTCGGTTATCGAGCCGGATTGTTATACTGCTACTGTAGTGTGCGTTACTAATATCCACACAAGTAGTATATGACGGTGGTAAAGCGTGGAATGTATTTCAGTAGAAGGTCGATGAGGAAAGAACGGAAACAAAACGAAATGCAATTGGTATGAAGACGTATGAATAATGAAATCTGAGACAATAGATTGATGTTTGCAACAGAAACCGTCAACTTTGAGATGATGGATTGATATTTTGCAAATTAACGATTTAATATATGGTTCTCATATTTTATTGAAATGTTCTGTAATTATGTGCATAAATGCATTGGATTGTTCCCCACCCGTGTTCTGTTCACTACACTACTATGTTTAGTACCATTCCAGAATCTTCTAGCAACCCAAGGACATTTAAAATATTTTAAAAACCCGATATTTTTTTATTAAAATGAACCTTTGAAGTAAAGTACTTTCGCATACTTTGCACCTACTCCCTCTTGTTCAGGTCGCTGTATAGTTCTAGCTTGTGGGTTTCAAGAATAGCTTAGGAATCAAGTATAGCGTTCAAATTGCAAGACTTATCAGTGGAGACGGGGATGACTACAATGAATATTTCTTTGGAGCAGCTAGAAGCTTATATAGTGCGTCAAGAAAAGAGATTTGAACAATCCCAAATCAGAATCATGGAAGCCCTGATGCAGAAATTGTGCCTGTCCCAGCAAAACCCTACTTCTGGTGAATCACAAGTATCTCATTTTGATTCAGTTATTAATTCCATCCATGAATTTAATTTTGATGATGCAGCAGATGTAACTTTTGATTTTTAGTTTAAGAAGTATGAAAATTTGTTCTATAATGATCTCTGCAAACTTGATGACGCCTCAAAAATCAGAATACTTCTAAGAAAACTTGGGACGATGGAACATGAACGCTATAGTTACTTCATTCTCCCGAAGAATCCACGAAACTTTAGTTTTGATGAAACAATTAAAACCCTGTCTCAAATCTTTGGAGAACAATCGTCTCTATTCAATATCCGTTACCAATGCTTGAAGATAACGAAAAAACCAGGAGATCACTGGGTGAAACATGCAGGAATTGTGAATCGAGAGTGTGAGAGGTTAAAATTATCTTCCATGACTGAAGACCAGTTTAAATGACGAGTGTTTATCTGTAGCCTGTGTTCACGCGAGGATGCTGACGCCCGAACAAGAATCCTAGGCAAGCTTGAACATTGTCCTAACATGACCCTGCAAGAAGTAGCTACCGAATGTCAAAGGTTAGTGAATCTGAAGCATGATACCTTGACGGTAGGGGACGGTGACCGATTCTTTCATGCTACTTGACACTCGTGAGTAAAATGTACCTATAGTATTGAGGGAACTTGTGCTCCCTGACAGATTCGATGCCGTGTCACCCAGGTTCACAGTCAGAGACGTTACCATTGAGCTATCCGGGCTGCGATCAACCTCCTGTAAGACTGGAATGTAATCATCACCGGGTGATGATGAATATCGTGTGTGTCAAGTTTTTATTAGTGGTAGCGGTAGTGTAATAAACAGAACACGGGTGGGGGACGATCGAATGTATTTGACACGAAATTACAGAATTTGTTAATAAAATCTAATAACCATATAGTAAAGGCTCAATGTTTGCAAAATGATCATCAATTGTCTGAAAATGGCCCAGACTTCATTGTTCTTGCATTTTCATACAAATTACATTCTGTTTTCACTCTTTACTGTCCGATCCTTTTGTCTCTCTGCTGTCAAATATTCTATTCTTGACTAACGTCATATACTATTTATGTCAAAATAAGTAGCACACACTACAGTAGTATTATTAATATTAGTATTATTATTATTATTATTATTACTGAATAATATTTATTAAAGCTCACTTTGTTCAATATCCGTTTTGATAAATGATCGTTGATTCTTCTCATATGATGATGATGATGATGATGATGATGATGATGATGATGATGATGATGATGATACATCAGATGGATTTAATGTGTGAATTTTATTACCGGAACGTACAGTTTGAATTTCTGTATAATAAATAAGATGACAGAAAAATAAAAAAAAAAAGAAATTAGATCATTATTAATGTTAGTTTACAAAAATTGATCTGATCAATTCTCTATATACACCCTTATATTATAAAAATCATATCATGATATCATTTATTTTATGTAGTAATATATGTATTCATTTCAGTAGATAATATCTTGATAACATAAAGATAATAACAACCTGATGTACTATGGAACTATAAGAAACAAAGAGTCCAGAAAAATGTACATCTTCTTAGTATTGTATTTTTATATCCGGCTAGTTATCATATGATTTATCCACCAATCAAAATACGACCTGCTTGAATATCTCAGCTACTTATTCTTACCATCTGGTTATTTCAACAAGTTATCTGTTTTCTTGTTTGATTGTTTGTTTTAACACATCATTATGCCTATTAGTATCATAAATTATTCAGGTGAGTTTGTGAAAAGTTTAAGATATTTCGCTGTACAAGTTACAAAAGAGCTCAATCAGAGACATTATGGTTACTGGCAATATGTATCGAAAAGGATATACATTAATCAGATGTCGATTCTTGAACCGCTAACATCTAACTGGTGACCACTCAATATTTATCGCAAGGAACTGATCAAGAAATAAGAAACGAGAAACTTGTTGAAATACTTTGTGCTGACAATTCTATATTGTATCAAAACACATAAAATTGAATAAAGCCACTACTAATAATAATATAATACACTGTGCTAAACCAATGACATTCCACTAATATGAGCAGTCTAGCCTCCTTATTAATCCTTTGTTCGCCTAGTTCGTCCAGATGAGTCTAGAACACCAATACCACTTTCCACTATGCGAATTATTTTTTATTTCAGACATATTGGGTTCATATATCAACCAAACAGACGGCAGCGCATCCATAAAATAGAATCAACCGAAAAAAGTGGATATGAACGTGGGAGACAGTAGTTAATAAACTAAGCATAATTAAGGGATGGTAAATTGTATAATAATCATTCATAGGTCAAGATGAAGCTTATAATAAAAGGAATATAAATATACATGATCTAATTATTATACAATAAGAATATTTATAGAATATTAGTCTAGTCATAGTCTTCGTCAGTTACCTGTAATTTAATCTTCACTAGGATATAACATTTAGTCTATAGCTTGAAATCTTACAAAGTATCAGAACAAACTATTGACTTAAAACATGTTGATTATTGCATTTAATTTCAGTTTATTCATAACAAAGTGTGATTATCATTAATTGTCATTCATAGATATAGATTCTTGCAATCCCATTGAGAAATTCATTTCAGAATTCTATAAACTATAAACAGATGATTGTTATTTAAACTACAGTATTGTTTTTATTCATCCAGTATAAAGTTCTTTTCCATAATTATAAACATTATCTGAATCAATGTGGTGTGCGCTACTTATATTGATATGATAAGTAGTATATGACGCGAGTTTTCAACTTAATGTCTGGCAGAAGAAGATGGGGGAAGATCAAGAAAGAAAGAGTGAAAGCACAATACGATTTGTATGAAAACGTATGAACGATGAAATGTCAGACAATGGATTGATGTTTGCAACAGAAACAGTCAAGTTTGAGATGATGGATTGATATTTTGCAAACTAACGATTTAATATATGGTTCTCAGATTTTATGGAAACGCTCTGTAATTATTGTGTGCCTAAATGCATTTGATTGTCCCCATTGGTGTTTTTGTTCATTAAACCACCACTGGAAACGATGAAGTGCTTAAAAGTGATTTAGTAGTACCAATAATCCAAATATTGTCGTCTTGTCTGTGTTGTATTCAATTTGTTCATCTATAATCGGGAACATTAGATATTCTTAGGGTTATGGAAATTGTTAAGTTTTTTGATTGAGTTCATCAATCGATTGATGTTAAATCACCATTAAAAATCTGTAAACACTAATATAGGACTCTTTAGCAATCTGAAGCCACGGTCCTGCACGTGGGATTCAAACCCACAACCTTCGATCTTGCATATGAACGTCTAATCTCAAGAACACTAAGTCGGTATATAACTTATGATCGTGGATTCAAATCTTGCCTACTGAATCGTGGATGAGCATTCCTGACAAGTTGTCCCATGCTAGGGCAAAACACAAGGGGTTTTTGTAGATATTATAGTAATTTCAATATTTGATATCATGAGTCAATTCAAGTATTGAACGGCTGTTTCGTCCTATTTTGGGACTTCTCAGCCGTGCACATCTATATCTCAATTTAAAAAAATAAAGAAAAAAAATGAAACGAACAAATGTTTCATACCTTTAGGTTGTCTTTGATTTGTTTTTTGTTTCTCAGTATGTCGTTCATTATTTGTATCTATAAAATGTTTTGTTATAATTAGTTCCGGTGGTACTATCAGACAGACAACGAGATATGTATATATATATAATATAAGAGAGAGAGAGAGATATATAGAAAGTGGAAAAAGAAAAAAAAAGAAATACATTACATATTAGTTTTTGTTAATAGTTAGCATCAGTAATGGGAGAAACAAAAATACCTGGAGGGTTTTCGTTCACGCTGACATAACTATCAATTAATCTTGTATACTAGTGATTTCATAATAAAGATTATAATTATCTTAACTTAGTATCTTTAATGTATGATGAGTGCATTGGATAAGTGTTTCATTCCCTTCAGAATAAACGTTTTTTTTTTTGACTTACAACAGTTACAATCTTATTATTAATATATAAATTTCAGTAGAGGTTTTTGTAGATATTATAATAGTTTCGATAGTTGAGATAATGAGTTAATTGAAGTTAGATACCACTATCAAAAACCTAGAAGCGTTGGATGGCCGTCTCACTTCTATTGTGGTACTCCTGAGCAGTAAGCATTCATGATCCTGCCTTGCGAGGTGATTACGAGTTCATTTAGTCTGTGAACGTAACAAAAACTTGTGATAAAAGACCAATAAACTAGATTTTCTGTTGCGTCCCAGCCCCACTAACTAAAGAGACAGAAGTCGAAGTCCAAACGTGGAAGTGTATTCTACAAAAATCCAGAAGCACGATCAATAACAACAGACACAAATTAAAACGTATATATACAGTACAAAACCATCCTTTGGGAAACGTTTCAAAATAGCATACTAAAAGACGTATTGAACTAATAGCGTTTGAGATTCTTCCAAGTGGGAAATACGACATGAAGGTATAATAAGCGCTTTTCGCACGAAAGCAAAGAAATTCAAACTTTCAAAATAAAATTACATTATTAAAACCTTTTACAAGTGAGTTCTGGGGATCTAAGGTCCCCAACAGTTATGTCATATTAAACTTTTAAATTATCAATAATCCAAATGTTTAGTTATGCTTAAAAATGACTTCAATTTAGAAATAATTTGAAAATGATAGAATGTAAATACTATTATGCTATGCGTATGCATATTACAGTCAATGTGAATGTGAAATGTTCGATTTTCTAAGTGATGTTGTATAGATGTAACTCCTCCTGGAGTCACTCTGGGGGCTATTGCCGGTCCCAAGCCTGGATAAAGGAGGAGGGTTGGGCATGGGGTTAGAGACCCCATTTCGTAGAAAACTAACTTGCTAAAAAAAAAACGCTAGCCAGAAAAAAGTATTCAAACCATTTAAACTTTACCCTGGGAGTCAAAAGGTCTTCGTTTAAAAGAATCATGACGCTTCATGATGAAAGTCGACTTCCTTCGGAAGTCACGAGGCCGATGCTCCTTCTGACAACCAGAGCAACCATTTATTTAGGTACATGGAATGCTCGTAGAATGTGAGAGACTGAGAGAGTTTTCTAAATTCCTGCTGTTGTATAGATGTACATATATTGTCTATTAAATGTTTACATTAATCAGCAACTAATATTGTATTTTTATAGTCTTTATTTTCGGTGGAATTCTTCATTTCAAGTTAGTATATAGTGATTTGTGTAAATGGCAAAACATGTGAAATATATTTTGATGTTATGTGGTTGGAGATGATCTGTTGAAAGCTTTAAATCTAGGTTCTGTTTTAGTTCAGATCGTTCTAAAAGATGTTTTTACCTTTAAATCTTGATGACATTATTGTTTTTACTTCCAGATGTATATTACTCAATACTACAATCAGAGGCATCATCATCGTATGAGCTTTCTTTGCCAGAGAATATATAACGTGTAATAATCAAGTCAAATTTACACGAAGTGCTTGTTCAAACATATTCAAATGTTTTTGTAAGCAATGATGGATAGTGGCTAGCAGTGGAATCCAGTTTGACGCGCGTTTCGTTCTATTTCAGACTCATCAGCTAGAGGTACCTGCATCTCAGAGTTGATAAGCATTTAGTGTGAATTCGATTTGATTGTTAAATGTTATACATTCTATAACCCCCCCCAAATCTTCTAGTACGGCCAAGGGTAGGGAGAGTCAGTCCACTCTCTCTCTCTCTCTCCCTCGAAATGCTCTCACATGGCCACGCATATACCCAGAAAGTACCACAGCCTATAGACAAACTTGTTTGAAGTACTATTGAAATTATAATTTTCACAATTAAACTGTAGTTTACATTAATATTAGATTACAAGAACAAAAAAAAAACAAAACACTTACCACAAACATAAACTAAACTAAGATGCATTTTACCACATTTTTGTATTTTATTCATTGATAAATCAATAGTATTTGGATTAACTGAACAAGTACTATGTCCATCACATGAACTACTCAAATAATCAGTAATATCTATTGTAGATGAACATACATTGTCTGATAATCCAACTGATAGAAATAAGATAATAAAATAAATATATTAGTATAAGAAGATAATGAAATACAGTGTTAAAATTTCCAAAAGTTAGACATGAACATTGATGAAAGTCAGTTTAGTAGGTTAAAAGTGAAACTTTTGTACACGAGATCGAATGTTTTAGGTTCGAATCCGTTTAGTACGAGATTATAGATTGTCAATGCCTAGAAGTCTTATACTTGTACGAAACAACTGTCCAGTGTTCCGAGATTTTCAATGGTGGTTCAGCTTAGATCCATTTCACAAAACTCTCTTTTTGAAACTAATTAATTATTCAATTATTTTCGCTCAGTAATCTTATAATTAATGAGATTGTCATATTTGAACTGCTGAAAGATTTGATATACGACAAAACTATAATTTATGGACGAACCAATTAGAAGCGTTTCAGGGATTTCAAGGTCATGGCTTCAATTTCGGTACCTGTTATTCACGTACGATCAGTTCACAGCAGATTTTAAAGAAAACGTAATAATTAAGCGACAGCAATAAATGAGACTACTACGAAGTTCTTTTTTTCGTGATTATGGTAATCAGTGAAATTGACAAGCTTACACGAGTCGTTTGGGGGAGTCGAAAGAATCATTGAAATAGACTAAACAGTTGTCACAATATGACAATTTGACAAATGATATGGTGGTACAGAGGACTGGGTAAGTAGCGATTCTATAAATAAACCTCACAGGTCCTTGTAATATACGACAGGTCATCTCAAAAAGGACACTTTCAACAGGTTAGAAACCGACAGGCTATAACGTTAATACCAATTATACGGGAATATCTGCAACCAGCTACTGCAATATATACGAATGATTGGAGAGCTTAACAATGTCAACAAAGACTTAGTTATTTGCATCATATCGTTGTCTACAAGCGGCATTTTGTGGACCGGAGTGAACATAAACAATATTGAAGCTATATGGTCATGGCTGAAAGTTTTTGCGATCTTGTCATGGCACGAGAGGTCGACTGTTATGCAGCCATATGGATAAGTTCCTCTGTCGTGTAGATTTAATGGTCATACATAAATCATAGTCTCACTTCAAAATAAATTATTGATAATCAGAAGGGGTTGTGTGGAGATTTTTGAAATTTCACTGGTTGAAATCATGAGTCAATTTGAGCTAGACCACCATGGAAAACCTGGAAGCATTGGACGGCCATTTTGTCTTAATATGGGACTCCTCAGCAATGCGCATCCACGATCCCCTTCCCCGCGAGATTCGAACTCAGGACCTATCGGTGTCGCGCTAGGCGCTTAACCAACTAGACCACTGAGCCGGCATCCAGCGGTGTTAATGTCTAGCTTCAACCAATCCATGAAGTTGCGCCACTGTACACCATTGTCTTCAGTGAGCTGAAACCGCGAGGGGCGGGATCGTGGATGCGCACTGCTGAGGAGTCCCATACTAGGACGAAACGACCATCCAGTGCTTCCAGGTTTTCCATGGTGGTCTAGCTTCAATTGACTGATGATTTCAACCAGTAAAATTATTGATAACATTAACTTACTTGGTATCTCCGTTGGAACAATTGGACATTCATAAGTTGAACTTCTATCAAATAATTTAATTTCTTTTTCAAATTTTGCATTTAGTATAACAAGTGCATTTATAGAACGTTCTGTATTACATTTTACTTCCATATATGTATCTGTACAGATTGCTTCAAATAAAGCTGAATCAAGATCTAAAATGAAAAGTAATAATAGTTCTTTGAAAGTCAAGATATGATTTACTACTAGTTCTTCAAAGAACTATATGAATAATTCATAGATATCAGCATGAAAGACAAAGATAAGTTGAAGTCAATTGTTAAATAGGTAACAAAGTAACTAAATACAATTAACTATCATCATACTCTAGAATTGTTCTAATTCATTTTGTATTTTCAATGGTTAAAATCATGAGTCAGTTGAAGCTAGATCACCATGGAAAACCTGGAAGCACTGGATGGCCGTTTCATCCTATTATGGGACTCCTCGACCCTTGCGAGATTCGGACAAAGGACCTACTGGTTTCGCGCGCGAGCACTTAACTACTAGACCACTGAGCCGGCATCCAATGGTGTTAATGTCTAATTTCAACTAATCCACGAAATTGAAATTACTACAATCTTCACAAAACTCCTTCTGATCATTTTCTATTGTTTGTTTGAATCTTCCTCTTTTGATGTTTAAGACTGTAATTAATCAGTCTCTCTTATAGATATATGGGTATCATGTGCGGATTACCACAATATTGTCTTAAATCACAAGCATTATAAGCAAAGATGGATGATGGTTAGAGATGGAATTCAGTTTAACACACGATTCATCTTAATTAGTCTTAAATAAGATGAAACGTGTATCCTGGATTCCACTGCTAGCGACTATTCATCTTTGCTTATGTGATAAGTTGATTGAAACAATGAACAATTGTAATGATTTCATGCATAAATACTGAGGTTTATAAGTAGGAATTTTTTAAAGTATTATTCTGATCTAGATTGTTTGTAACTTTGAATAATCACTATGAATAATGGGAAGATAACATTTGACGTATACACAGATCATTAATAACTTCGTAGATAAAAAATACATTACATAGATATTTGTCTTTTTATTGAAAAACCGAGTTCGAGTTTCAAAGTGAACATCAACTCTAGAGTGCCATTACATCTAGTTGATGAGTTCAAAATCGAACGAAATGTAGGTCGCAAATTTCACTACCAACCATTATCATCGCCATTTATTTTTGTATTCAGGATACATGTTCCATAAACGTAACATGGAATATCAAAGAATGATATCTGTTCAAAATGACAAAGTATATACTCACCAGGTAAACATTGATATTTAATAAGAATAGAATTATTTTCTTCAGAGCATTGAGTTAAATTAGGTATTAATTGAGATATATGTAGTTCACAGCTTTTTCTTCCATCACACATTTGTTTAATCATCTAAAATCATTGAATATTATGTATAGGTTTATCTGTACTATAACTGAATACACAATAAATTGATAGGGTGAAGCTATATTTTATGGATGAACCAATCAGGTATAAGATAACAAGACTCGAATTTTGGTGCTAAATTCACCCAGTACCGTTGTAGTGAACGGAACACGGGTGGGGACAATCGAATATATTTAGACACATAATGACAGAGTACCTTGATAAAATCTGAGAACCATATATTAAATCGTTAATTTGCAAAATATTCATCCATCATATCAAATTTGACTGTTTCTGTTGCAAACATCAATCGATTGTCTGACATTTCATTGTTCAAGCATTTTCATACAAATCGCATTGTGTTTTCACTCTTTCTTTTATGATATTCCCCCATCTTCTGCTGCCAGACTTTAAGTTTTTAACTAGCGTCATATACTACTTATGTCAATATAAGTAGCGCGCACCACACCGTTTGCTTCAAACGATGTCGCGTTATTCACTTAGCTAGTAAGTCCTGATAGCCACTTGATTATGCAACGGCGTGAAACTAAATTCATTTGGTATTGTTTACTTGTATCTTTCAAATTGATGTTTAGAACTGCAATAGTTCAGTCTCTTATTAGCAGCTGAAGAGTCCCACATAGGATGGAACAAGCATCAAACTAGATTCCACTGCTAGCCACTATTCATCTTTGCTTACAATGCTTGTGAATTAAGCCAATATCAAGACAATACTCAGAGATTAATGAAGGGAATATTTAGGAGTATAACAATGAAAAGCTTACTTAATAATAATAATACGTAGTAAATGTTTTTGGTTTAATCAACTGTCGACATTTTTAGAGAAGACGAAACTATATGCTTTTAATGCTCTAGTTTTAACCTCGAAAGTTTTGACTGAAAAGCTTATGCCTACTTTCAAAACGGATGTTAAAGTGTTGAAGTACCCTCCTTCAACACGTAAGGTGTGTATCTAAAAGATCGTTTGTAACTTTTACTTAGTTGAAATAAATAAAAAGAATTGAATTGAATGAGTAAACACCAATACATAAAATCGAAGGGGAGTGAACAGAAGACGAGTGAGGACAACAGAATGTAAAATCTAACAACCATATAGTGAATCGTTAATTTGCAAAATATCAATCCATCATATCAAACTGGACTGTTCCTGTTGCAAACATTAATCCACTGTCTGACATTTCATTGTTCATGCGTTTTCATACAAATCGCATTTTGTTCCCGCTGTTCCTTTATTGATCTTCCCCCATCTTCTGCTGCCAGACATAACGTTTTTAACTCGCGTCATATACTACTTATTATATCAATATAAGTAGCGCACACAACAGAAGGTGAAAAAATTAAAACAAAGCTCCTTTGAATATCATTAATTTATGAAGAGAAACTATATGTTAACTTCTAAATAACAGAGGTCAATTATATAACTATGGAATAAAAGTTTCATAGACTATTATTAAATCTCGCTAACTACCTCTTCTTATTGTCGAATAAGCTATTCTGATAGACTGTTTGTTCTGAAAATATCTACATTAATTATAAGTTATAATGACAAAGTCATTTAGTTTTTCCCATAAATTGATATTGATCAGTATTATGTAGTTATTTTCAGGCCTTCAAATGTCCTGTTACGGCCAAGAGTAGGGAAAGTCAGTTCTTCCTCTCCATATGCTCTCAATCATCCATGTGCATACAATCACTGTTAGGGAAGTTCTACTCACTGCCTTCTCACCGCGGGAGTTGTTGATTACGAAATTGAGAGAACTAAACGCAAATGTTCGGTACTGTCACCAGGTTGGTGAATATGTAGGATACAAAAATAATTTTAAAAAAATCTTTAACAGTTAAACTATAAAAGATCCATCATCTAAACATACTTTAACTATGTTCAATTTATTGTTACATTCAATGATTTGTTTTATGTTTAATTCATGTTTTCTCTTTTTCTCAAATTGATTTATTTTCAATGAACAACTTGGACTAATAAATTCTGGTTCTTGAATTGTTTGAAAACTATGATACATTTCAATTTCTAATATTCTAATATACATATGTATTGGACAATGTAATTGCATAAGATCTGGAAGACAAACAAGTAAAGATGTTTGTCGAAATACACCATATCGATCCATTTCTTTTGGGTTATCTGTAAGAATAACAAAATGGAATATAAATAGTACAACAACAACAACAACAACAAAAAATATGTAAACAATATTGGACACTTCAGTTCTATCTGAAGTTTGTGCGAATGATGATGAAAGCGCCACGAGTAAACCATTCAACTCAGTGAAATAAAACTTTATCAAAATTATCTACCTCAGCTACAAATCTTTTTCATCATTTCAAAATACATACCGGAATGTTTCCCTTATTTTTTTTTAGAAATAAGAATGAGAGGACGAAAAGTGAAAATTCGCGCTTTGACTGGATCTCAAACCAATGGTGCACATATGCTCCAGTATTCTGCGGGAACAAATGGCGTATGAACCAATTTGTTGGTCACCGGCTACCATTGGACTGCATCTTCTCACGATGTTCCACTGGCTTGTGGGTTAGACCTTTAGGTCAAAGGCTCGAGGTGTGACCCCCTAAGAAAACCATTTGCTTCGGTTTGGGCACCGGGGCAGTATCTCAGCCCACACACAAAAACATGACGAAATGTGGGGCGCATATATATTTCATGCCCCTTTGTACCAATATTTATGTGTTCAAATAAATAAAAAATAAAAATATTTTCGATTAGTGATTGAAATCAATCACAAAACTCCTGAATACTAAAAGGCTAATGTAAACGAAAAACATCAATTCACCACATTTCTAAATGAATCAAACAGTGTTGATATTGTTGATATCGCGAAGTGATTTCAGTTAGGAATATAATGAGAATTTAGGAAGACCAAACAACCGATTTTTACTGATAGTGTACATCCACAGTTCTATCATAAATTGTACTCAGGACCTTCGATCCTGTGATAAATCTTTAAACCATTTAGCCGATATCCAATTGCGCACATGCCTAACTTCAGTCAATTCATTCTATCAAACAACTAACTAAATAACCTAGAAAATTGGAGTTAGATAAATATACATAGATAGATGCCGGCTCTACATTTAACAGACCCTATTCATCAGTAAATGTGTATCCTGTCTATTCTATATTATGAATTTTCATGACATTTTTCACTTCAAATTTTCAAGTGTAAAATGTATACATAATCTATGGAGAGAGAGAGAGAGAGAGAGAGAAAGGGAGAGAAAGGGGTAAAAAGTTTCCATTGAAAACTTTTCTAGTTCTTGAGACAAGAACTAATCTCTAATAAAATAAATGACAAATACATAAGTAAGGAGGAAAGAAAACACTTGAAGTTCTTCTTTATGTATATATGTTTAATGTGAATAGTTTGGCGTCAATTACAATCAGAATGCTTAGTTGATTTATGAGTCATATAGATTTTCAGTATAACTACGTGTTTTCTTTTGTTATATGAGTTACTATTGTGTCAATAAATATAAAGTCAGTTCCTTTTTGTTCATGATATATCCCCAAGTACTCTAATAGTGTCGAGAGTAGGGAGAGTTAGTACTCTATTTCCAAATGCTGTCATATGGTCACACGTATACAGCCACTGTCAAAAAAAGTTCTATTTACTACCATTTCGAGATGAGAGTGTTGTTTGCAAAATTGAGAGGACGAAAAGCGAATGTTCGCCAATTATATCGGAATAGTGAATATAGAGGATCCATGTAGGGGAGTTAGAAGATCCTGATTGCGTACCGATGGTGCATATGAGCTCGCTAATCTTGAGGGAACATATGGTGTTAGCACCAATTATTGGTCAGGAGATTATATCTACTGAATTTGCTCCACTGCCTTATGGATTAGACCTTTACGTTAAAGCTTCGGGGACTGGGCCCCTTTGAAAACTACCTGTTTCGGTTTGGACACCCGAGCAATATCTAATCCTTCACGCAAATCAATGTTAACTGCTACTAGGTTCATTATGTGACGCGTATGTATTTCGTGCCCCCTTGTACCAATGTTTATGTGTTTAAATAAATAAAATAAGTAAATTTTTAAAATGTACTATAGTGAAATATTGTGTAAAGTTTATCTAATGATCATTCAAGTAAACGATATATTGATAGGGGTTTCGATACGAGATCACATTACTACAGCGATAACTTTAAACATATTAAATTATCCTCAACAGTATGTATCTACGATCCCGTATGTGGGATTCCAATCCAGGACCTTCACTCTTATAATAAGTGAATTACTAAAATCTCCATAAACCTTTATTCTAATATCAAAAGATGATTAGAGAAAGAATGTTATTGTATATGCTTCAACAACGTAGCATTGTAGTAAAGAAGTTATTTACCATAGATGAAATAAGTGACTATTTTCTTTTAATGTTTGTTTAAAAATGAAAAGTTGAACGAATAGTGAAGATTAATTCACTTATAAAGTTATTCATTTATTATTTATTTGGACACACAAATATACGTACAAGGGAGCACCTAATATATATGCGTCACACAAAACAATGAGAATGGGAAGAGAAGGGAAAAAAGGTAAGGAGCGTAGGAAGTAAAAGAAGGTTACAGCAGGATCGCCACTGTCTTCTCCTCTGAGCCATATCTGATAACGTCTCTAGCCACTGTATTGCACCATCTTTCAGTCAGGGAGTCGTGAAGGACCAACACAAGCCAGCCTTTGGGAGCTTTCTTTCATACCACGACACCATGCCATATACTGACCACCTCTCCGCTTTTTCCAACCAGTCCCAGAGTCGGCAAATAATGCACGACGAGGAATTCTCTGGGACGACATTCGTAGAATATATCCAAGCCACCGAAGTCGGTTTTTTATAAGATGGTGATGGGGCGTGGCCCCCTAAGAAAACTTATAAAGTTGGTTTGATACCTTCACATTATTAATGTTAAGGACTGCAGTTGTGATTCGTTTCTTTTAGCAAATATAAATTTTGAGCGGATTGCCTCAATATTACCAATAAGTCATAAGTATTTTTTCAACGAATATGGATAGTGATTAGCGGTAAAATCCGAGACTGTTATAAATGAAATAAAATTCACCCCGTTGTAATAGTCACTGGCTATCTGAACTTAGTAGTTATTAGGTTCGAGCCCAAATGCGAAAACTAACATTAGAAGTTCCATCTACATTTAACTGAGGTATTTCAAATAAGAAACAAGCAAGTTTGATTTCACTTGTAGCTATAATAAAACTCTTTTTATATAAAAGATATTTTTTTCCTTTTACCATCTTCTAAGACGGTTAATAAACTGATTCTTAGTGTAATGCGTTGTGAAGATCATGGAATTTTATAGGTTTATATCACTGACTGACCTTAATTAAACAACTAGACCTCAAATCTGAGAACTGCAAGCGTTAAAGTTAGCGCTTAATATGAAGAGTTATTCCAACGAGCAATTATAAACTATCCCTTTTTGTATGTATATGGAGAATACAGTTAAACAGATTTCATTCATTTTATATTAGTTGTTTCAATCTGCCTATTGTTGTTAAGCGCTACAAAAGGACAATCTGTTATTATCATATATGCATTCTGTGCGAATTATCTCGATATTGTTTCATAGCATAAACATTATAAGCAAAACTTGATAGTGACTAGCAGTGAGATTCAGTTTGATACTTGTTTCGTCCTATCTAACATACATTTCAACTCCTTTGTTCAATTAAGGCTTTAAACAATTAGACATATTTAATCCCTTAATCATCATTATTAAGGTATGAATTACATCGTTAGGAATATTGAATACTCTATTTTGATGGTTTTGTATGTATCTATATAAGCATACTTCCTTACATACAATATACAAGACATAACCGCCAGTGATCCTATTTGGGACATTTCAATTACAAGTAACTGCATCCCAATATTGAGGCTAGAACACAGTGGGAAAGCTGAAATCACTGGATGGCCATTTCGTCTCAATATGGGGCTCCTAATCAGTGCGTATCCACGATCCCGCCTCGTCAGATTCCATCCCAGGACGTACTAGTCTCGCGCGCGAGCACTTAACCTCTAGACCATTGAAGGGGCCGACATCCAATGGTGTTAATGTCTAGCTTCAATCAATTCACGAAATTCAGTCACCGTCCACCATTGTGTTAAGTGAGTTACTATCTCACAAGAGGTCTAGTTGAACTCCATTGGTCACTGCTTCTCACTGAAAAAAATCTCCATGAAATACCACATGGAGACCGTCACAAGTGAGTATATGTTGATTAATATCAAAAAGGTGTTTTTGTCGATATTATAGTAATTTCAATAGTCGAGATCATGAGTCAAATGAAGCTGGACTATAATATGCACAAAAAACAATGATTCTGTTATTAATCAACATATGCATACTAGTGACTCACTTCAAGAGGTATTTCCTGGATTTCTAGTGAGAAGCAGTGACCAGTGGAGACCAATCGGGACGGTTGTGAGATAGTAATTCATTGAAGACAATGGTGGATGTGTCACTCAATTTCGTGGATTAGTTGAAGTTAGACATTAACACCGTTGGATGCCTACTGGTTCAGTGATTTACAGCTTAAGCGCTGGCCCGTAAGACTCATAGATCCCGGGTTTGAATCTGGCGAGGCGGTATCATGGATATACACCGTTGAAGAATCCCATAATAAAACGAAACAGCCGTTCAGTGCTTTAATTGACGCATGATTTCAACTATTAAAATTATTATAATATCCACAAAAACAAACCCATCTGATTCATTTTGTATTGTTTTAGTTAAATCTTCCCTTTGATGTTTAGGAGTGAAATCGATCAGTCTCTTAATGGCATATGGACATACTGTGTGTATTACTTCAATATTGCCTTAATTTACAAGCGAATGGTACTGGGTTCGAGTCCTACATGGAATATCAACTCTGAGATGCAGGTACATTCAGCTGACGAGTCCCAATAGTATGAAACGCGTATCCTGGATTCCACTGCTATCCACTATCCATCTCTGCTTATAAACTCATCTGATATTATCATTATAGGTGTTTCTTCTTCTTTTAAGACTCCTTAGCAGTACGCATCCATAAAAACTCTTTTGATATTAAATATATTACTTGAATTACATTTAATTTATATAAGTAGTAAATTA